AATTATATTTTAAAAATATATTTAGTTAACATGTTTCATCTAAATCATAATTTAAAAACACAGTTGAATTCTGAAAAATAAACCAAGCATACTCTATATTTTACATAATTTCACATACTCTTTTTCTTTCTTTTTTTTCAAATTGCTTTCCAAATTTCCTACGAGATCCTTTGGTGACAAAGTTCCGAGATAACAACTTCCTCACAGCTCACCTATACAACTCAGTGTGAAAGTAGTTTCTATTCACTTTCAGCAATGTGCAATGTTAGGTATCATGAAAAACTTTTCATAAAAATAATCATAAAAGCTTTGTGACTCTTGGATTCCACTTAGAATAAAGCACTACATACTAATCAAGATAATTCAATGATCATAAATCTTTCATAATCATTTTCACGAAAAAAATTTCATAATCTCTAACTTTAATAGTTCACTTTTAACTCTCTCTCCATTTCAAAATGCGACATGAAAATAATTCTTCAAGGATTAAATTGGGAGTGCAAATTAGGAATTACAAGGGAGGGTCATCAAACTGACAGAGAGAGAGAGAGAGAGAGAAAGAGAGAGAGAGAGAGATGGACCAAAAAATCATAGTAGCAATGAAGGGTCATCCTTGCACAGGGAAGAGCACTTTGGCTGAGTTCATAGCAGATGAGCTCAAATGCATTCCTATCAAGCTAGATGATGTCCGCAGCTGCATCACAATGATTCAACAACAACAGCCCTTAGAGGATGCAGAAGAAACCCTCAACAACTTATCCTTTGAAATCATCTGCCAAACTGCTTTAACCCAGCTTCGTTCAGGGCTCTCTGTCGTCCTGGACTCACCACTCTTGCATCGTGCCCATCTAGATCGTTTACTTGAGCTATCAACTTCTACCAACCTCCCTCTGGTCATCGTCGAGTGCATACCACGAGATCGAGTACAATGGAAGCTACGACTAGAGAAACAACAACAGCAACAGCAAGAGGAGGTTGTTAATGGTGGTGGTGCCACCTGCTACTGGTACAGGCCTTCAACAACATGGGATGATCTTCAGAGGCGATTGAAAACATTTATAGATTATGAAGTGGGAGAGGGTGAAATCCGCAAACTCGTGGTCGATACCCACCTCCCTTTTTAAGAAGAAGGTTTCTCATGCCGTGTATCGTCTTTCTCTCTGCAAACTGAGCCACTGTGTGGACCTAACTCAGTGGGTTCGTGACGATTTTGATGGCCTTGAAGGGGAGGAAGATTGGAAAGAGGGTGAAGATGGCAAGCAGGAAGAGGAACGACGGCCACCTAACCACGTGCATCATTTAACCATCTCTAATGAAGAGACTATCAACAACAAGGGGGTTACTTGTTGTAGGAAGTGACAGCAGGAAATCATCACAGGTGAAGAAGGTCTATCTCCGACGACCTACTACAAATGTGCTAACTGTGACATAGTCCTCCACAAATCGTGTGCCGAGACACCCAACAAGGAGGAACTTGAACCTTTCCATTGTCTTCCTTTTCTCGACCCATCCTCACTCGAATATTCATTTCCCGAGACGTATAGTTGCCATTTCCACTCAGATGCCGACAATGGGGGATTCTCGTATGATTGCCCTGAATGCCTCTTCGAGAGCCACCTAAGATGCGCTATGTTGCCCTCTGTTCTACATTTTCATGACAAACTCCATAAGGGTCCCCTGTTCTTTGCTATTTTTCCTGCCAGACATGATATGACCTTTTACTGTCAAGCATGCGGTAATGAGGGCAAAGACGCCTTCTACATGTGTAATGACTGCCCATTAATAATGCATGTCAATTGTGCTCTGCTAACTCCCACCCTCAAGTACCAACGTCACCGACACACTCTCAACCTTACCCGTCCGCTTCAGGTCCAAGAAAACTCAGAAACGGAGTACATATGCGACACGTGTGAGAATGGAAGAGACCCATACCGATGGGTCTACGAATGTCTGGAATGCAGCGTGTATACATCTCATTTGAATTGCGTAGTTCCCGTGAAGTTGAACTTGCCTTGACTCAGTGGGCGAGTATGCACTATCCCATTTTCATTTTTTTTTTTTTTTCTACATCAGGATGTTGGGGTCAGGGAAATATCAGCACTAGTACAATCTCGAGATCACCGATCTCTCACAAATATTCGCAACTATAATATCGAGTGTAACGGTGTCAACCATGTTGCATTTATGAATATATGCAATTTAGCTTTATTTGACTTTGGGGTACTTGGTAACTCCTCTTCTCAGTCATCAGAAGTTGAATCACTCATAGAGTGCTCTCTTTCAAGATCATTGCTCAAGATTAGGCTCTTTTGTTAGCTTTCTCAATGTAAAAAAAGTAAGGCAATTTAAAGTTTGATAAATAAAGCATTATCTTTTAGACGTGTTGAAAACAGAACATATGACTCACAATTGATGAACACAGTCTACTTTGAACAAACAATAGAAGGTTATGTCATCAGCATCATAAATGATCTACTATAAAGCAACACCACAACTACAATACGAAGTCAAACCTGAAACACACAGAGGAGGTCTGAGGTCCAATAACAAAATCATCAGGCTTTCGTTTTCCATTTATGTGTTGCCAATCCACCTTCTCAAACAAAATGTACCTCCAATGCTGGTGAGAGAAACTAAATTATAGGCTCCATTGTAGCAAAGGGTGACCGAGCATGAAGAACCTGTTACAAACATCAACTAGTGAGACACAGAGAGATGATCATCGGCTCATTATTCTTGTCACAAAACAAGGGTTCTAGAATAAATTGGAAAAGGGTCATTGTATTTGCTAAGAAAAGTGTAAGAAATTATATGAGCAATTTTACCCCAAAAAAATTGTCTCAGCGCCTTCCAGCCAAGCTCCTAGTGCACATCAAGGCATTCCTTAAGCCTGGCCCGGATAAAATGACATGTGGATCAGTTTCTCTTCGTTCTGTGTAATAAGCATCATATAAAGTAGCAACAGACATTGGAGTGGCCAAAAAATCACGGGCCATCTTGGAGAGGATGGGATAGTTGGGGCTTTCAGCTCTCCACCATCTCAATACATTGAAATCCTGGTTCCAAGGCAAGATAGGTTCTTCAAGAAACCAATCCAAGTCTGACTTCGGTGGCTGACTATTAGATTCAGTAAACTGATTGTACTCTTGCAACCAGTTAGATTCGCAGGAACCTCTGTCTGGTGTACTTGGTAACTCCTCTTCTGAGTCATCAGAAGTTGAATCACTCATAGAGTGCTCTCTTTCAGGATCATTGTTCACATAATCACCATAAAGGCCACAAATGGCATCCAAAACAAGAGTACTCTGCGAGTTGCCATCACTTCTCTCACATTTAGAGGAAAGATATTCTATGTATCTCATCTTACAACGAGGATCCATGACAGAAGCAATTGCCAAGACCAAAAACATATCATTCAAGTATTTATCAATTCTCTGTAGCATTTTCTTTGCCACATTGCTGGTGAAACTATCTGAGATGATGGATTCCTCACACAAAGTTACCCAAAGCCCTTGAAGATTAAGAAGAAAGATGTTGGTAGTTGGATACTTTCCTCCATTCATCTGTGGATGGTATATCATAATTATCACGCACATGTTGTGAAGAAAACTCTCCCATTAACTCCAAATCTAAAGCCTGTTTTAGCTTGAAGGCTGTGTAATCCCATTGAGGTGAATAATTCCACGAGATTAGACAACGAACTTTTCTAATGATGTTAGATATCTCCTTGAATGCATCTTTCGTCGTTAGATTAAACATCTCAGCACAACAGTTCACACAAAATAGCTGTCCGTTAAGTTCGAGCCTCTTCTTTTCTTGAGCGCTATCTTTAGTAATCTGAACCACTTCATCATAAACATTGATATTTGCCAAAGTGAGACCAGCCATCTTGCCCTTGATGTCCCAATCTTTCAAAGACTTCAGAATGGCCAGATCAAGGCAATCATCATTCTCAGCCCAAAGTGGCTAAAAACTAAGAACCCACTTTTTTAATTTCCACTTGTCATCAATAAAATGTGCCGCTAAGCACATGAACTCATAGGTAGAGCCATTCCGCTTGACATAGCTCAAACTTTCAACCGAAAGGCTAATTTGTCCATCCATATTGGTTAAAATATGCTTAACCCTCAATTTATCTTCCTCATAAATTTGCAAGCAATTATCTTTGAGAGAATCAAAATCTAGTGGAAACCATGGAAAAACTTTGCCACGAGACTAACAATCTGTAGCATCCCTTCCAAGCACATGAACTTTGCAAATTCACGCTGCCCTTTCTGTAAGTCAATAACAGCATCCACAACAGTGTCGATACTGATTTTAGTGTCCAATACAGAACCACCATCACCATCACCATCTTCATCATCAGAAGCATCCCAATCCCAATCATAATGATTATCATTATCATTCCTTTAGACACCATCAGCATCATCAATTTCATTATCCTGCTTCTTACCTAATGAAAGCAACCAATATGTTGAGATAGTTATGTAGAAGCATCAAGCCAAAGTAACAGTAAAGGGGCAGGAGATCCTCTGTCTCCAAATCACTATGTTTCAAAACACTCACAGCTGTTGGGTAATGCTTCAACATTCTCACATGATCCAATGACTACAAGTGTATTGGGGCAAACAATTAGTTTTGTTTGGCATTTCAAAGTATCCAACTCATTAATGAGAGAAAAAATTGAGTCACTGTGATGCTCTCTCAAAAGTATCCAAACCTTTTTCTTAACAATTTTCATGGAGGCATTGCACTAAAAATTGCGACTTATATATTGTATAAAATTCCAAAAAAAAAAAAAAAAAAATTGTAAACAATTAGTTTTGAGAAGAAATTACCATTAACACCACCATCAACTCCATTGATTTCATTACCAAAGTAATTTTTCCTATTTTTCATACAAGCAGTATCATCAATTTCTTGGTTCTGCATTGTTTCTAACCAAAAACAACAATATTCAACACACACATAATATAAAGTGATGATGCAAATACAAAATTGAAATAAAAAAAATTTGAGGCCTAGCTATTAAAAATTCAAACATAGAACAAGGCAAAATCTCAACTAAACAGGCATTTGATAGAAATTAATCTATAATGGCTAGCAAAGCAACAACCAAACCTGATTTCAAAGTGATTGGTTCGTAACGCTTGCTTGAGAGAGAGAGAGAGAGAGAGAGAGAGAGAGAATCAGGGCTTGTTGTTAGGTGCTTTGGGAATTGGGAGTCATATTGGGAGAATGATTTGTGCAGGAAAATTAGGAAAGCCTTGTTTAACATGATTTACTTTAGTCAATCTTATTTTATTTGGATTACATCACTTTTTATTTAGGTCGCATTACCTTTCTATTACATTATAAATCTTTTTATAAAAAAATTAAAAATATATTAATTTAATACATTCCAAACAAACCCCATTCACTTGGCTAATGAGAGCGATGATGTTACAGTTGTAATTACTTTGTAAGTGAGTATGATGAACCGTTTAGATAGTTGAAGATCACGAGAGTGTGAGCCGTTCAATTTTTAATACTATATAAAAATATATTTAAATATATATAATGTACTATTAAAATTTTAATTTATTATTTTTTAATTATTAACAAACGAACATTTAAATTTTTTTATTATTTATTTTTTATGTCAAAAACATATATTTTTTTTAAAAATACCATGTTACCTTCTGTTCTACAATAACAATTTGTCATACTTAAAATTTTTATGAATTTAAAAAAAAAGACTTTAACTTCAAAATTTAAATTTTAAAAAAAATTAAATAAAATGATAATTAATTAAGGCTAATGATCATGCAGCAACAAGGAGAATACTACGATAGCTAAAAGGAGTAGTGACAAACAAGAGTAAGCAACAATACTGCCAACAGTTCATGCAAGTTCAGCACCAGAAAACAGAAACAATTATTTACAAAAGCCCTGTTCAAATATAGTCAAAAAATCTAACCAAAAAAAAAACTCCTTGATACTTGACTTCAGTAACCAAAATAAGTGCAACCAAACAGAAGGGTCATGCTACATCCCCTTAAAATTTTCCCCCCTAATCCCCCTAATTTTCATATCAAGTAAAAAAAAA